GTTTTCAGTGATCATAAGAGTTTGAAATATTTGTTTGATCAGAAAGAGTTGAATATGAGGCAGAGGAGATGGTTAGAGTTCTTGAAAGATTATGATTTTAGTTTGAATTACCATCCTGGAAAGGCGAATGTGGTTGCCGATGCGTTGAGTAGAAAATCATTGCATATGTCTATGCTAATGGTTAAAGAGTGGGAATTACTTGAACAGTTTCGCGACTTGAGTTTGGTTTGTGAAGAAACTTACTTTGGGGTGAAACTTGGTATGTTGAAGATTACAAGTGGAATCTTGGATGAGATAAGAGAATGACAAAAAGAGGACTTAGTTTTGGTTGACAATTTGACTTTAGTTAACCAAGGTCAAGGAGGAGAGTTTAGAATCGATGAGAACGGCGTGTTGAGATGTCGTGATAGAGTTTGTGTTCCCGATGTGGGAGATGTGAAAAAGAGGATCCTTGAGGAAGGACACCGAAGTGGGTTGAGCATTCATCCCGGTGCCACAAAGATGTATCAATATTTGAGAAAGTTGTTTTGGTGGCCGAGTATGAAAAAGGAAATTGCGGAATTTGTGTATTCGTGTTTGGTATGTCAAAAGTCCAAGATAGAGCATCAAAAGCCTTCCGGTTTGTTACAACTTTTGTCTATACCGGAATGGAAATGGGACAGTATCTCTATGGATTTTGTTTCGGGTTTGCCGAGGACTCCGAGAAACTATGAGGCTATTTGGATTATAGTGGATAGATTGACTAAATCTGCTCACTTTATTCCAATTAGAATGGATTACTCAATGGTGAAGCTTGTGTGGTTGTATGTGGAGCGGATTGCATGTTTGCATGGTATTCCGACGTGCATTGTTTCGGATAGAGACCCGCGGTTCACATCTAGATTTTGAGAAGGTTTGCAAAGAGCTTTGGGTACTAAATTACGTTTAAGTTCCGCTTATCATCCACAGACGGATGGTCAAACGGAGAGAACTATTCAATCACTCGAAGATCTTTTGCATGCTTGTGTGTTGGAACAAGGGGGTTCTTGAGAGAGTTATTTACCTTTGATCGAGTTTACCTATAATAACGGTTTTCACTCTAGTATAGTTATGGCTCCTTTTGAGGCATTGTATGGAAGGCATTGTCGAACACCTTTATGTTGGTATGAATCGGGAGAAAGTGCGGTGGTTGGACCGAAAATTGTGCAATAAACTACGGATAAGATTAAGTTGATTAGAGAGAAGATGCAAATTTCATAAAGTCACCAAAAGAGCTACCATGATAAGAGGAGGAAGCCTCTTGAGTTCAAGAAGGATGACCGTGTGTTTTTGAGAGTGAATCCTACGACGGGTGTTGGTCGGGATCTTAAATCGCGGAAGTTGACACCTCGGTTTATTGGTCCGTATCAAATTTCGGAAAGGATTGGTAATGTGGCGTATAAGATTTCATTACCACCATCACTTTCCAATTTACATGATGTGTTTCATGTGTCGCAATTGCAAAAATATATTGCGGATCCGTCACATGTGGTGCAAGTGGACGATGTGGAAGTTAGAGAAGACTTAACCGTTGAGACATTGCCGACAAGAATCGAAGATCGGAAAGTGAAGCAACTTAGAGGAAAAGATATTTCTTTGGTTAAGGTGATGTGGGGTGGTGCGGCTAATGGAAACAAAACTTGGGAGCTTGAAAGCCGGATGCGGGATTCATATCCCGAGTTGTTCGTTTAGAGGTAATTTTCGAGGCCGAAAATCTTTTAACTGGGGCAGAGTTGTAACACCCCGTTTTAATTAATATTATTTATATTATTATTTTCTAAAAATGGCCGGTTGATATTTATTTTGGTAATTATTTAGTCGGTTATTCGATCCGGTAGTTGATTATTTTGGTTTATTCGATTTATCGAAAAATGATTATTTTTATATGATAATATCGTATTTTTGATGTGTATATATTAATATGTGTGTTAATCGATTAATTAGTGATAATTGAATTATTAAAATATTTATTTAATTATATTAAGATTTAGTTTAATTAAATAATATGAATTAATTTTATTATAAAATAAATAAGCTAGTGTAGTAATATAAACAAGTTAACGTGATATCATATTATGTTAGTTTTATAAAGTAAGTATATAATATATATATTAAATAATAAGTTAGTTTTATATATTATATAATATAATAAGTAGTAGTAGTTAGATAGTAAGAGAGAGATACCAGTAAGAATAGAAAACAGAGAAGTGAAACAGCAGAAGAGGAAAAGAAAGGAAAATCTAGGGTTGAAGAGAAGAGGAGAAATTTTTGGAATCGAACCGAAAAACTTGTTCTGGAGATTAATCGGTAAGGGTTAGACTTCCTCTAAACATCTAATATGTTTTTATTGCATTTGATTTCATTTTTTCCCGGTTTAGACGGTAAAATTAGTTATCCGAAAATTAATGAAATTTGACGGGGTAACTAAGTTAAACGGGTAGGTAATTAAGGTTGAGTTATTTTTTTGATATCGCGACGTTTTCGGAGGCCGATCGGAATTGTGTTTGTTTCGAATTAGCTAGTTTAGACGGTAAAATTAGTTATCCGGAAATTAATGAAATTTGACGGGGTAACTAAGTTAAACGCATAGGTAATTATGCTTGAGTTATTTTTTTGAGATCGCGACGTTTTCGGAGACCGATCGGAATTGTGTTTGTTTCGAATTAGCCGGTTTAGAAGGTAAAATTAGTTATACAGAAATTAATGAAATTTGACGGAGTAACTAAGTTAAACGCGTAGGTAATTATGATGGAGTTATTTTTTTGAGACCAGAAAATAGTAAAAGAGAAATGGAGAATGTTATTATAATATTTATTTAATTATATTAAATTAGTTTAATAAAATATTAATTTTCATATATATATATATATATATATATATATATATATATATATATATATATATATATATATATATATATATATATATATATATATATATATATATATATATATATATATATATATATATATATATATATATATATATATATATATATTAACTAACAGTATATATATAAATTTCTAACTAACATATTGTTAATTTTATATTATATATATAAGTAAAATAGTTTAGTTAATATATTAATATATATTTTAATTAACAGTGTGATTAATTATATAATCGGTTACGGTTTATTGATAAAACTTGATATTTTGGATTCGATCGGAGATGAATTAAATTGTAGACGTGTGGTATATTGGAAATGTGTTGTGAAATATTGATTCCGGAAATAACATGTTCGGTTTATAAATGTTATGTTATTGTGTGATTAATTAATATAACCGGTTATGATTAATGGGTAAAACTTAATATCTTGAGTTCGACCAGAGATTAATTAAATTGTAGGTGTGTTGTATTTTCGAGATATTTGGTTAATTTCCGATTTCGGAAATGACGTGTTTGGTTTATAAATATTTTGGTGTTGTGTGATAATTGTTGAAATGAAATAAATGATGTTTGTTGTGCAATGTTGTAAGATTAATTCATAAGGTTGAATTATGGTGATGTATGCTTGTAATTGAGATAGAGAGATGTATTGATTTGCATAATTGTTGTTGTTAAATTGCACACCGCATCATAAGTAGTGTCAAGAGGCGATGTCCGTTAGTCTCGTGGAGGCTAGTGGCTCGTCCCAAACTCAGAGTGGGGGTTTGAAAGCTTAGGGAATGGGCTTTGTGATTATCCGTCTAAGGGATAGACAATCGGTAAATCCGAAGGATAATAGATGATTGGTACCACATGCATGAGTCGTGTCGTTGTGTCGAGTCGCACATACACACTTTGTTAAGCTGATGTTTTGTTGAATATTATGCATTATATGCTAATTGGTAAATGAAATTGATTGTGTTTGATTTCTTTGCGTTGTTTAATATGGGAATTGGATTAAATGAATATATTATGTGGTTTATGCAAGAGTTGGAAAAAGAGTAAGATTCCTTTATTTAATGCCTTTCATTTGCTTTAAATTACATACCTTATGTTTGTTGGAATTCTTACCCTTCTGTTGGAAAATGCTTGCTACAGCATTGTTCAGGTACCGAAGAGGGTAATGCGAGGCACTAGCTTAGCGGATGCATTTGGATTGTAATCCGTTTTATTTTGGTTTATCGAGTCGATGCTCTAGTTGTAACACTTGAGGGTTAGGTGTCCGCATTCGAACTCGTATATTTTGTATATGGATTATACTTGTATATAATCCATTGTTTTGATTATATGTTGATGTATGTATATTATGACTTGATAACATGTTTGGTGTATGAACCGTATGGCTTAATGCCTTGAATTTTATATTTTGATTCCTCCTTTGGAGATGAAGTTATTATGATTCTGTTGCGTTTGCACGAAAAAGAAAGTATATGCCATGAATGTATTATGTGATTAAATGATTAATGTGACGAATATGTCATGTCCGTTTTTCTTAAATATGTGAATTGATGTTGTGACACTCCTTCCGTGCAAATTTTATTTTCTCTGATTTTAATATTATCGTTTAATTCGGGGTTTATTAGAAGGGGTGTTACAAACTGCAAACCCAAATGTTTCGTCTCCACCTCTGCGTCAAGAACGTTGTCTTCTTCCATCATCCTCAACTCAAAATGCAGTAAGTTGGTTTTTGTCAAGATTTGTTGTTTCTGTTGTTAATCTTTGTTAACAATTTTATTTCCTAATGCATTCATAAAAATGAGTTGAAGGATTGACTGTATTAAGGACATCAATGACACCAAGGAAACTTGGAGGTTGCAGTTTGAATCGTTGATGCATGGAGCGTTGTTAACACTAAGGGAAAAAGCATATGGAGATGGTTTTAATGGATGCATCGGTACTATGTTTTACAGCCCTTCATATAAAAATTCATTTGATTAGAATGTAAATCTTAAAAAAAAATCTAATTCTTTTCCAATGTCTTTTAGGGTGACAGAATACAACTTTTGATTCGTGCTGACCATATACCTAAATTGAAAGAACGAATTTAGGAGAACATGACATGCATAATCAACAACGACAGTGTTTATGATAATGATTTTCAGTGGAAGCTTTATGATCATTCCAATAAATTTGTCTTCCTTGGTGGTACCACTTTGAAAATTGTTGATGTTCAAAACATCCCTCCAAAAAAGTATTATTTCAAAGATTTTGGTGATGTCCTTGGAAGCAAATATGAGCTTAACAGACTTGAAGGTATGATTTATTTAAATGGATAGTTTATTTGGTATAATATTTTTTAAGATCATAGTATATTATTAAGTTATTTTTAATATCACATGATGTTAAAATCATATGTTTTACAATCAATATTGTATAATTAATTTTACTTTGGTTACTATATTGTAGAGATTATTGGTATTGTTCATGAGATCAACAATTTCCAGTGTAACACACCAGGGAAAAAGACTTTTGTGTCACTCAATCTCAAAGACCTAAGGTAAAATATGACCCCATTACATATTTATGTATGTTGCAGTTAATGTATATTGTAATGTGTCATGCAAAATACTTATTTTAACTATTTATAACAATGGTAATTTTATTATCTGCACTTTATGGGATAACTATGTAACTAAGTTTTTGGATTACTACAATGACTCAAGAAACAATGGTGCTATTTTCATTATTATCACTCATTCAATGATCAAAGAATCACGAGGTTTGTGTTCTTGACCTTTTTCCCACACATCTTTATAAATTCATAAACATGAGTGTTGATTGGATTTTGTTGTTTGTCATTTTCAGTTTCTAATGGATGGAGTGGTTCTAAGTTGCTAATTAATGAGGAAATTCTATAGATTACATAATATTTGTCTAAGTAATATAGTTATTCATTTTGACATTTGAATTTTTTTCTCTTTTCATCTTGAAGTTTAGTTAAATTAATAGATCAATATGGTGTTAGGTTACCTGCTAATGAGCAGACTGAAAAACCAACTCAATCATCAAAGTCCATGTCTCTTTGGTCTAGAACATTGCAGTTTACTACAGTTGAAAAGTTTATTAATAAGGCCAAGTGTATGTCTTTAAGTGGGCTATGCAAGGTCAAAAAGGTATACTCCAAAATGTATTTCCTAAACCAAATATTTTTAGTTATAATATTCTGACATATCTGATATATTTAAACAATTATCTTTAGTAACTACTATGTGTCACTGTAGTAACTACCCTAAAGTTTTTTGTATCTAAGCATGGTTGGTTCTATTATGGATGTACCAAATTTACTTTAAAGGCATCTGATATAAATAGTCCATACCAGCGTTCATATGGAGAAAAAGTTGAAAAAGCAATACCAAGGTTAATTCTCATATTTTGATTTTTTATTTTTAAGCCATTTAAATGTTGTGTGACGAGTTCTTTATCATTTTCTGTTTGGTGATTTATACTTATATGTAATATTTCATTTTCGTAAAAGGTATAAAGTTGATATATATGTCATTGATGTTGATTCCAAGTATCACTTTGTCTTTTGGGATACCGACTGTGCTGAGATTATTGGAAAGTCTGGTGAAAATATGTACAACACAATGATGCAGGTATTTACATTTGCTTGGCCAATTTCATTTGTACTTACTTAGTGCTTAATGAATTTCTTTATAATTTTAATGTGTCATTCTTAGGAAGGTGAAGATGACCACATGGTGTATCCTGATGACCTTTACTTACTATTGGGTAAGAAAATGGCTTTCAGAGTAAAGGTTCAGCCAACATTTGGACAGGGTTCTATGTGGAAGCTCTCTTTGTCAAGAAGGTTCAAAATGATTTCATTCCTAATGAGGTATAAATGTGTTGTACGTGTAAAAATTAAACTTAATGTATTATGTGCTGAAAACATTTTCCAATTAGTTTATTAATGTCAAGTTGCAATATGCAAGCTGATAGTCTACCTTTAGTGCTAAAGGAAAACCAAAATCATGTCGAAGCACATGTGGTGTGTTGATTCTTATTTACATAGTCAGTTAATAGATTGTTATTTCTGTCAAATGTACTAACTACATTTTGTTATATTTGAAGCAATCATTCTCTGCATTTGGGGAAAATGATCCTGATACAAATTATGGAAATACCCTAGCTAAGGATGTCTTTGTCGGTAATAATGTTGAAGATATTGACTATGAAGTTTATGGAGCTACACAATTTTCAGGCACCAAACCGTCGAAGAAAGTGAAGATGGAATCATATGCTTGATGGGGCTATTATAGGATTAGAAGTTTTATTTTTATTTTGTTGTCATTGTTGGTTTCTTAATTTCATTTACGTATCAGAAAGTTTTCTTTTGCTTTTTATTTTGAATTGAAAGAAATATTGAAGTGTAACTACATTATGCTGGTGCATCATCATTCAATAGTGAGTTATTAATGAATTATTTCGGTTGCTCAGATTACATAACTTTTCATTTTCCTATCACTGTCTTGCAACTTTACTAATGTATACCTTTAAAGATTTTCCATATTTTAAAAAGTTAAGTTAACTACTTTATTTCATAATACTCAATCAAATAATATATACCAGCAATCTATTAATGAAACACTTTTTGTTCTAAATATCTATATGATTGCTAAATAACCTCTACTATCGGTTTATTTTTCTATCAGATTCTTTTATAGCCATCATAATAATAACAGTTTTTGTGGTGCCTACAATTATCTATAATCAAAATCTTAAAGTAAAACAATTTAAACATTCTGACACTAGGAATTATAAACGTCTATTAAAAACAATTAAATAGCAGCATATTTAACTCGTTATAGGTATCTTCCCAATACAGTTTTTGCATTTGAGGTATATATCTTTTAAGGTAATTAATCAAATGTATTTTCATTTATTTATCTGATACCAATGGACCATTGATTAATTTGGATGTATGCACACGTTCAATATACACGTTCAATATAGCATGATTTCCCACATAATATCAATGTACATTTATCTCTTTGAAGTCTTCACCAATCCATGTGAGCATCTTTGAGAACCACAACAGTTAAATAATTATTCTACTTTTAATGCAAAGTTACACCATTAATAACATTGTTGTAAATGATTTTGGAGGGAATTTTGTAATGCTTTATATAATGTTACCTCCAAAAACTACTTCCATTACCAGTTAAATATATACTATTGGGGAGCCAATGGATAAACAAAAGTCATCTAAAAATGAAAATTTCCATACAATGCTGAGAAAGAAAAGAGAAGCAAATGCTAGAAATCATAGAAAGGTTGTACTTGATCAGAGAAGAGCAAAGAGATTGAGGTCAATGCACAAAGAGAATTCTGAACAACCTCATGCAACTACTCAGGGAGATTGTCCCCGAATTCGAAATCCACTATCCACAATTTCTCCAAATATCCTAACTTCCATAAGAACTACAAGAAATTCCATTCAGAAAACTCATCCTAAGTCAGTGTTGAATACCTTGCCAAATACCAGGAATACTGTCAGATCAAAAGGGGTGTCTCTACTTCTTCAAACCTACGACCACACCAAGATGAGCAAATTCACCAACTTTTTCAAGATGACAATGGAGACGATGCTACGAATTCAGATTAGGAAAGTATGTTACCTTGTTCAATGCTTTTTATATCACGCTTATATACGTTATGCTCCTATTATATTAACTTATAATAACTATTTTCATAGGTTATAGTTCGGATACTCTATCTAATATGGACGACAATGACGAATATTCTGACAATGAAGATGTCAATATGGATGTACATACTTCAGGTACATTTTATAAGCAACTCACAGTCTGGAAAAATGGTTTCATATTTTTTTTTTATCTTACTCTTTTTTGTTATAGGAGAGTATTATGATATAGGATATCCAATCATTGAGTGTCAATACTATGGTGCAAACATGTGGTATAAAGAGAGGAAGATCAAATCACGACATTATGTTAATCCTAAGTTTTCGATATGCTGCAGAGAAGGAAAGGTTCAACTTCTTTTGTTAAAAACACTGCCACCTCTATTGCAAAAAATTGTTGTTTGACCAAAACTCAATTGAATCAAAACATTTTCAACAACAAATTTGTCTTTACAACATGATATTCGCATTTACGTCACCAGGAGCTAAAATGGACAATAGATTTAACAACGAAAGATGACCTCTAAATTATCGAATTCAGGGTCAATCATGTCATCATATGGGTAGCATGTTTCCATTGCCAGATCAAAACCTCCGTTTTGCACAACTATATATATTTGATACCGAACATGAGATCCAAAACAGAGTTGATGGAAAATGCTACAAATTATTTTTGCTGCAAATTACAGAAACATGTTAGACTATATTATAGAAAATGCTACAAATTATTTTTGCAGAGCCATTTTGTATTAATATATGACAAATATATCCATTGAATTACCTAAATATTTGTTGCCTTGATTTTGGCATTTCCTATTGCAATATCGCAACAATATTTTTTCTTCCCATTAAACCACTTTGTTCTAACATTGAATGGATTTTTTCCTTTTTCCCTTTTTTCAATGGTCCTTTCTTTTTCGCCATTGTCGCAACAATTTTCTTTCTCTTTGTCACAATATGGGTATCATTGATTGGAAGTTTCTTTGTATCTTCTCTTTTCTTTGTAATGCTTACATCATGGTTGTTTTTGGTACGAAGTTTCTTCACTTCGTTCTTTCCCTTTGTCGGAACATCACAGTCTCAACAACTAAGTCCTCAATGATTTCTATTAGTAGATGTATCATAGAGAGGAAAATGGATCATCAGTGGCCTATGTCTGGAGCTATCTCTCCATTGCTTCATCTAATGGTTAAAAATTTATACAAGCTAAATAAAAATAAAATGAATTTGTTTTTAAGAAAGAGAAAAAAATATAAATGAATGGCTGAGATGATGACAAGATGAACAACATCAAAGAGTAGGCAAGAGAGAGTCCATATCCCATAGAGTGTCATAAATCAACATTTTATTTTTCTTTCATTGAAAAAATTTAAATGACAAAATGGATTGTATAAAATTTGTAGAAATTTCCTATTTAGGGTCTGTTTGGTAACATAAAAAAAGAGCTTTTAACTTTTAGTTTTTCAGATTATATTAACAAAAAAGTTCTGTTTAGTAACTGTCATTTATCTTTAGCTTGTAGCTTTTTTACTAGCTTTTAGCTTTTTTCTCAAAAGTTATTTGAAGTAGCTTTTGAGCTTGTAACTTTTAGCTTGTGACTTTTTCTTTCATTTATACCCTTATTAATTTAACAAAAAGTATATTGAGACTTTCAATTTCTTAATTAAGAATGTTCTTTTATGTCATTTTGTATTTATCAACTAGTATAATAGCTAATTTACCAAACACTCAAATTAATTTATCAGCTACCAGCTATCAACTACCAACTATCAACTATCAACTACAAGTCATGAGCTACGAGCTACCAGCTAGTTTTATCAAACAGAGCTTTAAGATAAACTCTGTAATAAAAAGTTGTTTTAAAACATTACTTTTAGACAAATAAGGAATATTTTATAAGTGAATCATCTATTTTCAAAAAGAGTACTATAGCAGTCAAAAAGCTGAAAATTAAAAAGACGCACGACAAGAACTAGCAGTAAGGGTGAAAGGAGGGGATAAGAATCGATTAGTACTGAAGGATTTAATCAGGTTCGAGGAGTTTTAAGATCATGTTTATGAAGATAATCAACTATTATATCATATAGATAGGAGGATTGGCTAAGAAAAAGGAAATCTTTAACATAATTAAATCCCACAAACCATCTTTTGCGTGTATACAAGAAATCAAGGCGGGTGAATTGGACAGAAATGTGTGTCACTCAATGTGGGTTTCAAATGACTTTGAATTCGCTATTAAACAGTCAAAAGGGAGATCGAGAGGGATATTGACGATTTGGGATAGTTGCAAATTCATAGTTTAGAATGTGACAATCCTTAACAATGTAGTGTGGGTGGAAGAGCTTTGGGAAGAGGAGAAGAGGAAAATAAATATCATCAACGTGTACGCACCATGTAATAGTAGGAGAAAACACGAATTGTGGGATGAGTTGAATGGGAGAATAGCGGAGAAGAATGGGGAATGTATTTGTGTGCTAGGATATTTTAACTCGGTAAGGGCCATAGAGGAAAAAAGAGGTTCAAATGAAAATAACAGAAGAGAGGAAATGGAAAGATTTGATGATTTCATATCAGATTCAGATCTCATTGATTTGCCTCTCCAGGGCAGGAAATTTACATGGTATAGATTGGGGGGACAGTCATGAGTCGTATCGATAAATTTCTTATTTCAGAATAGTGGAGTAGAAGGTGGCCTAATTGCTCTCAATGGGCTTTAGATAAGGGTTTGTCTGATCATTGTCCTTTAATGTTGTCTGTTACAACCCAAGATTGGGGTCCAAAACCGTTCTGAATGCTAGATTGTTGGAGGCATATGGAAGGGTACCACTGTTTCGTCATAGAATAATGGCTTAGTTTGAAGGTGGAAGGGTGGGGAATGTATGTCTTGAGGAAAAACTCAAGTTGATGAAGTCTAAATTAAAATAATGGCATGAAATGCATACTTAAAATTTGAAGGGGAAAATCAATGCGGCAAAAAAATAATTGAATAAGTTGGAATTAAAAAGTGAAATAGAGTCTTTGTCGCCAACAAAGGAGGTTCGAAAACGAGAAGTTTTGGGAGATCTTCATAAATTATCGAGTCTCAATTGTAATATCCAATGCAAAAGATCAAGGAATAGATGGTTGAAAGAAGGAGATACAAATGCAAAATACTTCCATGGGTGCATTAACAAGAGAAGGAAAGAGAACGAAATTCAGATGCTAGAAGTGGAAGAAAGAATGGTGAAAGAGGCAGAGGGGATAAAAAAAGCAATTCATGATCATTTCAAAACTATGTTTGCGGGCAAGAGGGGGGTGTCCGCCCATATAACATGGAGTTTAAAAAGTTGGAGGTAAATGATTTTGCTGATTTAGTTCATGTTTTCTCGAAAGAGGAAGTGTGATGTGCGGTTTGGGAATATGAAAGTTCTAAAAGTCCAGGGCTGGACGAAGTCAATTTCGGGTTTATAAATGAATTTTGGGAAACGATCAAAAGTGACTTTTTGAGGATGTTGGCAGAATTTTACATAAACAAAAGGTTGGTAAGAGGAGCCAACTGCTCATTTCTGGTCCTTATTCTTAAGGGTAAAAACCCAACAAATATATCCGACTACAGGTTAATTCTATTGTTGGATGCATATATAAGGTATTATCCAAGGTTTTGGCGAATAGGTTGAAAAAGGTGATTAGCAAGATCATTGTAAAAACACAATCAACTTTCATTATCGGCAGACAAATTTTGGACAGGATTCTAGTGACGAATGAAATTGTTGACGAGACAAGGAAAAAGAAGAAAGAAGTGGTTTTGTTCAAGGTGGATTTCGAAAAGGCATACGATTGCGCTGACTGGAGTTTTCTTATACTTGTGATGGAAAAAATGGGCTTTCCTCTAAAATGGCGTAATTGAATTTTAGAGTGCTTAAGCTCTTCATCAATATCAATGTTGATAAATGGAAGTCCAACATATGAGTTTAAGATGTGCCGTGGACTTAGACAAGGAGACCCATTCTCTTCGTTTCTATTCCTAATTGTTGCTGAAGCATTCAACTTGATGATGAAAAAGGCAATAGATTTGAGGAAATTTCAAGATTACAAATTTGATGAAGGTGAGGAGAGGTTTTCACACCTACAATACGTGAACGATACATATTAAATGTGAAAAATCATGGTCAAATATTCGATGCATCAAGGGGATATTTCTTTTATTTGAGTCGATGTCCAGGTTGAAAGTTAAGTTTCACAAAAGTTTGCTCGTGGGGGTTAATGTCCCTCAATATTGGATCATGGAGGCGACAAATGTTTTAAATTGTTGTGCCAACTCTTTGTCAATCTTGTACCTTGGTTTATCAATTGGAGCTAACTCAAAGCGGTTGGAGACCTGGTCCAATGTGATAATTACAGTCAAATTAAGGTTGTCAAATTGGAAGAATAAACATCTCTCTATTGGGGGTCGAATTGTAATTTTGAAATCAGTTCTTTATGTGATTCTAATGTACTTCCTCTCATTCTTTAAGATTCCAACATGTATCATTCTCAAATTAGAATCTATCTTTAAACATTTTTTATGGAGGGTAGTGAGATAGAGAGGAAGATAAATTGAGTTATGTGGAAAATGTTTGTAGGCCAATAAAAGAAGAGGGGTTGGGAATTAGAAGGTTAGGGCTTTTCAATTAGGCGTTATTAGAAAAATGGAAATAGAAAATTAGAGTAGAAAAAAAGGGAATTTGGTTTTCGACATTAGTAAATAGATATGGGTCGATCGTGGAGGCCATTAGCCCGGGGACAAGAGGAAGCTCAAGTTAATGGAAAAATTTGTGTTCGTTGGATTTAGATAGGCTGAAAGATTCAAATGAATATTCTGTAAAAGGTGTTTACAAAAGTCTTATGCCTGAAAGTTCAGACGAGTTAAGGAATCCATGGCCGAAAATTTAGAAGAGAGTGATTCCATCAAAGTATCCTGTTTGATTTGGAGGTCGGTTCAAAACAGAATTGTAACAATAGACAACTTACTTAAAAGGGACATAGCAGTACATGGGCAGGTTAATTGCGTTGGAGAATTGTATGTAACCATCGCATAATATCATACGGTAACTATAGCATTCCTCTTCTTACGTACCTAAGAAAAAATTTGCTAAAAAAGTTGTTAATTAATGAATTAATCAATCTGTAAGTTATTTACTAAATTGTTTTGAAAACCTCTTAATTTAAATAATTTAATAAATAATTAAATATAATAAAATTAAATGACATTAAGACTAATAAAAATAACAGATAATTAATAAATTAATTGAAATTATAACTTATAAGTTATGACTGATAATTAATAGTTTATAGTTTATAGTTGATGAGAGATGATTTATAATTAATAAATTAATTGAAGGATTTGATAAAATTAACAATTTAATTAGTTGATAAATATAAAAGACATAAAAGACATTTAATATATATTTATTTTATTTTAAATTAAAATAAATTATAAAAAGTAGTTGTAGATTTTAATTAAAATAATAATAAAGATAAAAATATAATAAAAAATAATAATCTATAAGTTATAAGTTATAAGTTAAGATACTATTTGAAATAGCACATGAAAAATAGGTTATAAACTCATGATAAAAAAATTGTTATCAGATAAGTCTTTTATTGTCATAACTATAAGTTCAAAAAATGACTAGTCAAATATAGTATAAGTAATTAATAGATGGTAAACTATTCAACTTTTAGAGACGCATAGAAAAATTGTCATTAATTAACTAATTTGTAAAATGTTTTTTTCTGCGAAATCAATTAGAGAATGCGATAGCGCCAAAAGTATTAATGGACTAAACATTTGACATCGCATATTTATCAAAACTTTAAGACAACCGTGTTAATGGATAAAACGTTCAAGTTCAAAAGGCATTGGCACCACATATCTATCTAAATATATGAATTCATTTTCCTATAAATCCAATATTTTCATCATTATAGCTAATGTTAGATTTTTTTGAACAAATTGATGTTAGACTTAATCACTCACATCTATTATCTATCTATAAAAACAAAAGTATATGAAAAAACCACTTCTAACCTACGGCCTAAAAGTTTTAACTTTTCTGGTTCCAGAGTTAAAAATAATGTATTACTACATTGCTTAAACCATATGCATTTGATATTAAATGCGTTTGATGTATCACTATTCTGAATATTTTTTTATTTATTTTATTGTCTAATTTATAATATAATGTATGATGACCATTAGAATTCTTCTTTCAGTGAGAATCACATACCAACGATAAATGTAATTATTGGACAATAGATATTATTTTCCAGTTATAAAATTCCTTGAACATCCAAGTTTCAATGTTATTACTTCTTTTAAAGAATGACATTAACAGTGGTTTCTCAATTTCAAACAAATTTGGAACTACAAATGAAACCACACAAAGACGATTTTGAGCATTTTCTACCTTAAAATCTACATAATTAATCTATGAAGAGGATATCAAATGGTTGTTGTTTTCTCATATCTATATACAGAAGAGGATCTCAAATCCCTCAACAAATTCCTTTTTGGGAAAATTATTATTTGCACACCAATAAAATATTTGTAATTAGTTAAATCAATTAGACAATTTTTTAGTAGATAATTATTGTAATTTACGTTAAAAATATGATTTTCCAATAACTAAATTTCTGATAATTTTAAAATTATAAATTAAATTAGTTATATATTTAACTAAAACAATTATATTTTTATAAATGATTAAATATTGTTGAAAAAAATTATATAATTTTTCTTTATATTTTTGGGTGAATACATTTTCTTAATATAATTTTACATTTTCGATTTTATAGTATATTCAAATATTATTCATTAGATTAAAATAGTTATTTTTTAATGATGATATACGGTTCTCAACTATAAAATCGAAATTAGTTATTATTATGACACAAATCACATTTTATAACATTTAATTATTATTATTTAATTGGAAGTTAAATCACATCGGTGCTTTTTGATTGAATTCTACACCTTATACTTTCTATTGTGTATGAAAGAGTTGCTTTATAATTTTTAGGTTTAATTATAATTTTAATCTCTATTTTAAATTTAAACAGTTTTAATCTTTTATTTTAGATTTAAACAGTTTTGATTTTTCTCTCATATTTTTGTGTTTAAAATTAACGATTTTTTTTTCTATTTAAATGACAAATTACTTGTAAAATATGATAAATTATCGTATATAAATTTATTATTGAACTTTGTAAATAAAAATATAATTTAAAAAACAAAAAACCTTATCGATTCAAAATAGAGGATTAAAACTATTTGAATTTAAAATAGAAATTTAAAATTATTTGAATTTAAAATAAAGAGATTAATTTTGTGAATTAGATAAAATAGAAGGAGCAAAAGTGTAATCAAACCTAACTTTTATGCCATTTAATTATTATTATTTAATTGGAAGTTAAACATATTTAGAAGCTAAAAAGTTGTCTATCTTATTCACGTTCTTCATACAAAAATGAATAGTCAGTTTCCAATCAATTATCAAATTAATTTCCAATATCTCTCATTTATAAAATTAATTCACTTATTAATATTTTGAGAATAAATGTATGTTGTTTTCAATATTATCTTTTCGGATGCAGTATATTGGAAATTGCATAAAGTTTTTTTACAATCAAAAATAATATTTTTTACATATCACATTTATACTGCGTGATGTTTCTCTTTATTTCTCTAAACCCTTTATTGTCAGGAGGTTTTTCTTTTTCCTTTTGATGGGAATATCAATATGATGGTTGAATATCAAAAAGATTGTTATAATTTTATAGATTCACTATTTGTAAAATAATTACGGGCTCAAGAGGTTATATTTATTTGTAAAACAATTATAGTTAATTTATATAATTTTTAAAATTTTAAGCTAATTTTAAATATGAAACTAATTTTTTTTAATAAATTTTATCCAAACAATTAACATCATAAAATTTGTAAAATAAATAAAATATTTTCATATTAAGAAAAATTTCAATTTTAAAATTTTGGTAATTATGTATTATAATATTTTAACTTTAATATATTAAATAATTTCAATTTGATTGTTAATTTAATGTGTTGATTTTATAAATATTTTTATATAAAAATTATTGTCAATTTAATGCGTTGATTTTACAAATGAAAATAAAATTATACACTAAGAAGACGAAGAAATATTGTTTTTAATATGTCATTTCATTCCCTAAACAACTAGTAAGAAACATGTGCTATCGCATGGGTCATGTCTAAATTCATATTATACGTCTACTAAATTATCATTTGTAAAGTTTGTATTTGTTTATTTAGTTAGTTCATATTCACATAGTTACAACTTATAATCATTGATACATATTTATAATAAATCGTACAACAGATTCTATAACTTCAATTATATAAAATAACAGTAAAAGAAATATTTAAAAGATGGATATTAAAATAAATAGTTTATAACTGGTATCTCATAGCTACGTTGACATCTACCCGTGAGTCTATGCATGCAAAGATCTTCATTACGACGAACAATATACAACTGTTAAATTGAGAAATAAAATAAGAAAAAGAACTCTTAGATTAATATACATGACCAAGAGAGTATTAAGTTTAATGTTAATCGGATAAACATACAAAATTAGATGAATAATTAGATATATAAAGTAAATCGATAAGAATAATTTTTTTGTGTATGTGTTACTCTTACAATTAGAATTTTTGTGTATGTGTTACTCTTACAATTATTCTAAAGTAAATTTTTTTTGTATTATCTTTGTTTTTACAATTAATCTTTGTATTATCTTTGTTTTTATCTAATTATCCATTATTCATATAATTATATTTTTAAACGAAAGTAAGTTATAAATATTTTTATAAATGAGAAAAATATATTGTTGATACAATTTTTTTTATAATCGGAAATAACTTAAAAATATTTTTATAAACAAAAAAAATCTATTGTTGATACAATTAATTTAATAAACGGGAATAAATTACAAACGTTATTTTCAATTCAAAAAGTCTACCAGACATAACGTGTAATGTGTATGTCAAAACGAATAGATTTAAACATATATATGAGATATTAGCCGTAGACTATTCATTTTAATATTCATATTTTAAATCTTTCTTTTGATGTCGTTATATATTATTTCACTATAGAATTCATTTTTGACTAATTTTTAAAATCTTTTTAACAAAATCCGATTAACATTAAACTTAATACTCTCTTGGTCATGTATATTAATCTAAGAGTTCTTTTTCTTATTTTATTTCTCAATTTAACAGTTATATATAAAGTAAATCGATAAGAATAATTTTTTTGTGTAAGTGTTACTCTTACTCTTAGAATAATTGTAAGAGTAACACATACACAAAAATTAAATCGATAAACATACAAAATTTGGTACAAAATAGATATTATAAATCACATTAGAGATAGAGAAAAAAAGAAAAATATTACACTAACTATGGATAAGGACTAAAAAAATGAAATAGAAGTCATAAAATTTCATCTATATTATTCAATTTTATCGATGTAGACACCACATAGTGTTTCCCCTATTGCAATATCTAGTTAATACCAGTCTCTGTTTCCCTCTCTTCCTTGTTGGATGCATCCTACTGCTTGAAGAAAAATAAAATATATTATTATGTATAAATTTGTTGGTAATTATGGATTGAAGATAATGATGCAAAAAGAAGTATGTGTTTAATACAAAAGGAAATAGTCATGAGAATTCACTAAGGAAGTGGTAATTTTTCATGGATTTTGTTAACACATACAACTAAGACAATCAAAATAATCAACAAACCTCATTTCTAAAAGCTTGATCAATTTGTGCAGCAACAAAGGCTAGCTTGTTTCCACCAAATTATATATGATGCATATGTAACACTTTTTGTTCATCAATTAGTAGAAAATTCCGATGAATGTATGGTCTTTGATAATGAAGCACTCTATGACATCTGCTTCAAAACCCTCAAACTCACCATACCAAGCTGTAAGTGTACTGAAGAAGGAATGGATGAGATGGAATTTACTGAAGCAGAAAGCAATATGAATGACCTTGTTGCTGAATATCAACAATACCAAGATGCCCCGGTCGATGAAGATGGTGATGATTACCAAGAAGAAGAGGATGCTCAAAGCTAAAGATACTCTACAAACTTGTTGCTTCGCACACTGAAGCAATGTTTCATGGACACTAATATATTTGTTCTTTGATTATCAAAAAATATGTATTCAAGTTCTTTGGTTTTCAAAATGTATGGTCACGTTTGTGATTTACTATTGTTGCCAGTTCTACCTGTTTTCATATACTTTTTTTATACATTTCAATAATAGTTTCTTGATATAATAATAGTCACTAACACTAAGGCCTAATACCATTAAGTTTCTTTCAGCAATAGAAGCACCTTTTAGAGGCATTTATGAAATTCCATGAGAACTCGGAGGCATAGCGCTTGGTGTAGCCAGGTACTTTGAACAAATCAACAATCACTATTGTTCAGTGTTATGCTATATAGTACAACACTGTCAAATCATGGCTATAGCACCGTAGCATAGGGGAATTTGAACAAATTGTTAATTTCTACAATCGACAATATTAGTTTAGTGATTCATACATGCAAATATTAACTATCAAATATTATTTTGTCATGTATGGGCATGAGGTATCGTGTTACTAATAAAAAGTCAAACAACTGACCTCTTTTAGTAAGTTAATAAATCTCCAATTTATAATGTCTTCACCTTCACACGCAAGCAATATATTACTTGGATATCCTCTTAAGTGTACCTACAAATCAGAGAATACAGATATTGAATATAGTTATACATCGAAAAGATAACTTCATAATGACATTAAATGTTTGTAGTGAATCAATCTAAATTCATAAAGAAAAATATTCAATGAGCATGATAAATTGATAACTAATTATCATTATTTTCAAACAACATTGCTATTTAAAAGACTAACTAATAAGGTTTGAAACATCACAACTTTAATCACCTTAGCAAGTGTTTGTTTTGGAGGATGATCAGCAACCTGATTCTACAGCAAATGCACATATATGTTAGTTACCCTGTGATCATGAATACATTTAGGAAGATGGACATCTATCAGTTACCCTGTGATCTAGAAGTTCTTGTATTTTAGAAGCTAATTACATCAACTCTTCAATGTTATCAATCACACACCTACATGATTGAAATGAGAATAAGACATCTCTAGTAGTTGTAAAAATAAAATGTATATAGATTGAAATGAAAAATTGAAATGAAATCTAAATCTAAACGCTAAGATCTATGACATTAAATCTAATATAGACAGCAATCTAGTTTAGGAAGTCTTGCCTGAGTGTAGTCTTATAAATTTCCACCTTGGTCTATATCTTAGAATCAAGTTTGGAAGTATATTGATCCAAGAATACCTATAACTCGTGCATATTAGAAAAAGAAAATTGATTCAACTAACATCAAATTAATCTTCATTTCTGCAAATCTACCATAACAAAACATTTGTAAAAGTGTTTGAATGTCATATAAATAACTTATGAGATATCCTCATAGCACAAAAGTAAATTAGTCTCATATAAAATTGAAACCAAACACATTCCTAATTAAAATCCTAAAATTGCAGTAGACAATCTCAGATTAATTTCACTCCTAAAGTAACAAACATAAAATTTCAAGAATTTCAAGTTTAGAAACGGAAGCATATGGTATCAACTACAACAGCGAAACTTTTACACACAAATCAACAAACAAAATCAACAAATAGCAAAATCTGAAAGCAAACTAAATTCATAAATTGAAGTAACTAATTAAGCATTAATCAATAATCACTTTAACAATGATGTCATTTTTCTCGGCTTTAAATGCGGTAGCAACTCATTTCACAAGTGGATCATCATCAGAGGCTTCAACATGCGGAGGCCAAACACAGTGATTCTTGTAACAGAGAAACACATGGCAATCGTAGGGTTCGACGGTCCCGGTAAGATTTTGTTTGTACATCTCATGACGGGAGAAATCATATTTGGTGTCGTGGGCAACGACAGTGGAAGACATAGTGGTGGAGGAAAGGAGGAGAAATCATGTCTGCTTTAATCTTTTAGATTTGGTATTGATGTAGTTGTTATTGATGGTGGTGTACAGTCACTGCGGCACAAAAGAGATGGAAGAGAGATTTCTTGTTTGAAGAATGGACTAATTTGAATGATGGAGTAATAGAGAGCAATTGATTTAAACAAAGTATTTTGTTACTACAACTCTCAATGTGTTCTTTCAATCCTTAGGAGAGTGAAAGTTTATTGAGGGAAGACAAATTTCAATGATGCATTTGAATTAGAATATGATTTGTCTTTCCAACTTCTGCATTGTGTAATTAAACGTGTAACAAGATAATCCAAAAGCATAACAAAATGATATATTAGATTAAAATAAAATAAAATAAAATAATAAGAAAAAATATAGGAGTGGCACATAAGCATTAATAAATGCCAAATCAATGTGGTGATATAAGTAGTTTAAAAAGTCTATTTTATCCTTATAATTAGTAAAATTAAAGATTTTAATTAAAAGGTTAATAATGTCATTATCATGTACTTTGAAATTTATATATTTATATTAGACAAATTTTATATTGATGATATAAATAATTAATGATTAGATATCAGCAATAAATAGTTAATAATTTAATGATTAAATTGTTATAAAAAATAATTATAAAAAATATTTAATAATTAAAGAAAACAATATGGTCAATATTAGTCACTATTATTAAAAAATTATCATTTTTGAAATAATATGATGGTCCTGAAACACATTAATGTTTAAAATCTTAGATGCAAATATATTGTGTAAATTTAAATATTTTTTTTATAAATATATTAAGTATGTAATGCAATGAAATTAAGAAAAATATTCACATTTTAATGGCATTTATGTTATATTTGTTATGAATGAAGAAAATAAATAGATTTGAATGCATATTTAAAGAAATAGTTATAGTACTAAATAACTTTATAATTACTAAAGAGAAAAACAAACAAAAAAATTAAAATTTAGTTTGTTTAATATTTTACAAATAAAAAAATAGCATTTATATTAAAATATATTACAAATATTTGTTTTTGATAAAGCTGTTGAATAATATACAAACTTTCTTTGCTTTTGTATTAATTATCTTAATAATTTTCAAGTCTTTAAGTTGGATGTATTTTAACATTAGTTATGTCTATAAATTATAAATATGTTGTACTCAAGATTAAGAAAAAAAATTATTTCTCTTATAATTTACTATACGATTTTCAATTTCAAATTTTAAATTTCTATTTATTGTACTTAAATTTCATTAGTATATTTTATTATAATAAAAAATATTATAAATATTTGTTTTGATTTAACAAGACAATTATTTTTTCTTCTTATTTTATAAGAGCATAATTTTTTTTAAGAAATACATATGTAATTACATAAAAATATATTAAAATTTTAAATTTATGATAATAAATTAATTATTTTATACTATCATAAATGCCAACTTTAAAAATACAGTAATTATATTAAAAATTAATTAATAATAAACTCGTGCGTTCGCATAAATTCTAATATGAGACGCGAATTTGTTTCAGATATATTTTTAGTAAAAAAATATGTATATTAAAATTAATAAACATTTTATTTTAACATAATTTATAAAAATATTTAGATCAATAAAAAACTTATTCTCATTTTTAAAAAACAATTAAGATTCTCGTATTTGAATACTTATATATATATATATATATATATATATATATATATATATATATATATATATATATATATATATATATATATATATATATATATATATATATATATATATATATATATATATATATATATTAGATTATTATTTTTTCACATATTTACATCATTGACAAATGTTTATTCAATTATAATTATGGTTGTATATATAAATTTTAATGATTAGTCTATTTTTTTTCGTATTTGGATAAACCTGTTAAAGTTTTAAATTTTAATATTTCAATTATTTTATATCATATATAAATATATATTGATCATTGATAAACTTGTCCCGTTAAATTTTAAATTTTATAAATTATAAACGTATAATTAATAAAAAATATCATACAATTTTAATTATATTTATTCATACATTATTCATATTCAGTTCTGTTCTGGACTGGGCCGGGCTGGCCCAAAAGCAACGATAAAGGCCCAATCCAAACGGACTTGCTAGGGGTCACGCCGACCTAAGGACCACAGCTATGCCCGACATACTTCACTGGAGCGACATCCTCGACCTCGTACTATCCAGCTCGACCTCAGCTCGAGCACTCCTCCAACGGCAGACACGGTCCACTACACTCTCAACGGGACCCCGAAAAGACCGCGTCCTTGTCCGCCCGCACTTCACGCAGGACATCCAGGAAGGGGACCACGTGCGGGTCCCCACTACGCACGTAGAACCTGGCAGTTCCTCCATTGGGCCAAACCTGCCCGGCCCAATGAAGGAACCTTGGCCCAGCGCTGGGGGCTATAAATACCCATTGTTCTCAGAGGGTCAGGTATTCATTCTATCACATATACTTACACTTTGCCTGCTCGTACTCTTACTTACTTCAGCATCGGAGTGCCTTGCAGGTACCCCCCCCCCCCCCCCCACCTCGTTCAAAACTTCAGCTCGGAGTCAGCCGTGACGGTCTAAGTCTGATCAGGTTAGATCAGTGGCGCCGTCTGTGGGAAGTGCTCGAGCTGAGGTCGAGCTGGATAGTACGTGGCCGTTCTCTTGGTGGGGTATGGATATCCTCGGGCCCTTCGTGCAAGGGACTTATCAAAATAAATTCCTCATTGTGGTCGTGGATTACTTCACGAAATGGATCGAGGACGAGGCTCTCGCGAAGATCACCTCGCACAACATCCTCTGTTTCTACAAAAGAAACATCCTCGTCAGGTTTGGAATTTCGAGGGCACTGATGACCGACAACGGCACCCAATTCACCGACCACGGGTTCCAAGACTTTGTCACCAGACTGGGAACAAAACAACACTTCACGTCAGTCGAACACCCTTAAACCAACGGGCAAGCCGAAGCCGCGAACAGAGTCATCCTCCGGGGACTCAAACGCCGACTCAGTGAA